AGTTGCTTTGGGCCATAATGTTTCATCACAGCAATAGTAACCCAACTGACACAACCACCCAGCTACAAAGTACAGAGCGAACCTGGGAGCCAAGTCCCCCTCCCCAAAGCAATTACCAGGCTTCTGTGCTTAGGAAAGCCCCAGAAGGGGCTTCTCCCCTGGGGCTCATTTAGGAAGTCTGGGGACCTGGTGATCCACAGGAGGTTCTCTGATGGCTCTCAGATTGAGCTGTCCACCTGCTGGGCCTATGTGAAGGAGGATGCCCACAAAGGGAAGTCTGTAAAGAGCACAGTGTCTTTGACAATGGCATCATTACCAGGCACTTCCCAGCCTCAGCCCCATCTCTCTCTACCCTGGCTGGGCACCCAGGTGATTTCCAAATTCCCTCAAAATCATCAGAGCAACTACAGAACCTAGGACTGCAATGGGGAAGCAGCCCGATGTCACCCAGAACTAAGGGCTGAGGGGGATAAGTCTCCCTCCCCATGTCTCTCGGAAGGGTGGGACACCACAGAGTTCCAGGTAGTCTCAGCCACTAACTGTTCAGCCCCATGTCAGCCACTCCACCTGTATTGCTTTTGTTATTTGGTGGGAAAATCGTTGGGGAGGGTGTCAATGACAAAGAGGTTTATAACTATTAGCAGCATGGTAGGGACGCCAGAGAGCAGGACATGGAAATGAATGCTGGTGATCCTAGAACTTGGGGAGGTGAGGCAGGAGAAGAGTTCCAGGCTAGCACAGGATGCAGAGCAAGACCCCACTGCAAAAACAAACAAAGCAAAACAAACATGGTAGATGGCAAGATGGCTTTATGAATAAAGGCGCGTGCCACCAAGCTTGAGAACCTATAAGGTCTATCCCCGTAACCTACATAGTGGAAGGCAAGAACAGACTCTGAGAAGCTGTCCACTGGCCTCCACATTTACACTTTGATTCATATATGCCACCACTCCCTACTAAACAAATCAAACTAAATGAAAACACAAATACGGGATGCCCAATTAGGATTTCATATGAAAGACAAATAACACTTCATATAAATACTAAATATGCCATATTACATTAAATAGGGATGGCATACTTTGTCTTCATATCTTTAAGAATACCATACTTATATTAAGAAGCGACTTGCCGTTTATCTGAAATTCAGCACTAATTGGGTACCCTAGAATTTCTGCTTGGCTTGCTGTCTTCTCGTTTGTTTTACTTTCTGTTCCCTGGCCACTGTTGGTGCTGGTATCCCTTGCCCTCTCCCTCCCTCAGGACAGTTTCTTCTCTGACCTCAGGCCCAATGAAAAAGCCTGGCCTGTCCATCCCTCCCCTTCCTGCCTCCCCTGGGGACTGGGGATGTACTTTGGGGCTCAATACCCCCCACCTCTGTGTGGCCACAAGGGGATGCTCACCTGGCAGATAACACATTTTTGCTACTGGCTGAGACAGTCAAGGTCACAAGGAGAAAGCTGTGCTCTGTCCTGACAGAGGAGGGTGCAGAGGAGCAGAGAGCAATCTGGGAGAAGCTGTCCTTTACTCAGGCCTGGGGGTTCCCTCCCTGGGAAGATGCAGCCATTGTTCTTAGAAAGCCCGGACCTTGTAGCCCAGTGCAGCCTGATTTTCATTGGCAGAAAGTCGGTGGCCCGCATGTCTGGGGAGCTAGGAGCCAGAAGGAGCATCTTCCAGCCTTACTTTGGGTAAGCATGCCTTCTCTGCACACGTACCTTCGCTGGAGTGGGACAGTCTGCACAACAACACTTAAAATGTCACACAGTTCCTATCGATATTATTGTACGCCTCTCAAGAACCTCACCTAGCCAGTACTGTAGCATCATTTACAGATGAGGTAAGTATGTTACAGAAAAGCCACCCAGGACTGGTGATGTCACTCAGTGGTAGAGCACTTGGCACTGCAAAAACACACACACACACACACACACACACACACACACACTTCATTGCCCTAGCTGGGCCTTGGAGATTTGGCCTTGGCCTTCATGAGAGACATAGACTGGGAAGGAGATGGGGAGAGTGACAGAGGAAAGCCACATAATGGAGACCAAGGAGGAATAAACCTAGTGTTCTACAGCCCAGGCAGGTGGCTACTGTTTATCTTATTTGGTGTGCGTGTGTGGTATACATGTATATCCAGGTACACATATGAAGTGTGTACCTGGGGCCAGAGGTCGTGTGTCTTCCTCAGTTGCTCTCCACCTTATTTTTAAGCATCCTTTAAAAATGTTTTTATTTTTAATTGTGTTTATACAGGTCTGCTGTGGGGATGCTATGTGTGCCATATGAGTGCAATACCCAGAGGCACAAGAAGAAGCCCTTGGGTCCCCTGGAGGTGGACTTCCATCCTGGGTGCTGGGAACTGAACTCTGGTCCTCTCTAAGAGCGTTAAATTCTCCTCAACCCATCCTTTGCACCCCTCTTCAGCGCCGTCCACTGAGGCGATCCCCTTCTCTCCTTCCACCATCTTTTCTTTTCTTTTTTCTTTTTTGAGACTATCTCACACTGAGCCTGGAGGCCCCTGATACAGCCAGACTGCTGGCCAATGAGCTCCTGGGATCCATTTACCTCCACTCATCCCACCCTAGCACTGAGATTACAGACATGATTTTTACATGTGTGCCTGGGGATTGGAGCTCAGGTCCTCATGCCTGTGTGGCAGCCCTTTATAAACTGAGCCATCTCTAGTTCCCATGCCAGCGTACTTATAGTTTATTAAGACCAGGAGGAGCTTGCAAGAGGCCGGAGCAAAGAAATGAACAACGGTTAATGGGATAGAAATGGTAAATCCCTTATTTGATAGCTATACATCACATGCATGTATTAAGTTATCACATCATGTGCCCCATTAATATACACAATTACCACGTGTCAATTACAGTTTGAAGAACTGTCGAGTAGGATACAGGAGGGAGTGGAAATTAACCCCTCTTGAGCATCCACGGCTCACTGGGCATCACTGCACCATTCATCAAGAAGACTGCTTTAAACCTTCCCAGCAGGCGGAAGGACAATGTCTGTATTTTGGATTCAGACAGGGAAACTGAGGCTTGGGGAGGTCAGGGGCTCATCCAATATTGTAAACCTGAGTCCAGATCAGAACTTGGGTCTTGCACTTCGTTCTCAGCCTGAGCCAGTTCCTTTACCCTCCCTGCTTCTGGCTCACTTTGGGGACACTGTCCTGGCCACGCTCTGTAGGCTGCAAGGACGCTGGAGCTGCCCTTGGCTGGGTGCCCCAGGAGGTGTCTTCTAGCTGTCACCTTCCCCTCCTGGCTAGATGAGACTAGTCTTCCTCTCTGCCCTGACCTATCCCCGGGACCCTTCTGCCATATCTGTGCAGTGCCTGTCCATTCTCCCCCAGCCTCTTGTGTCCACGTGCTGTCCATTTTCTCCCGTGGATGATGTATACTGGAAGAGTAGAAGCTCTCCTTGCTCTGGGGTTATACCCTCATTACTTCATTTTGACAACACATGAAGGGGTCACCTTAAGTGACCCACACAGAGTCCTCGGGCCTTACAGCAAAAGTCAAACCCAGGACTTCAGACTCTGACCCAAGGCTCTGTGGGGGCTCAGAGGCCAACCCAGGTAATTCAGGGACAATGAAGCCAAGGCTCAGAAGCATTAAAGGCCACTCAAGGTTCCAGCTACCTAAGGCAACGCTGAAATCAGAACCCAAGCTCCTGCCCCCAACTGGAAGACAATGGGAGCCCCATCACAGACACACAGTCGGATAAATGAGAAACAGTTCACCAAGACAGGAGCAATCAGAGCCAAGGTGATCCTCTCTCCCCAGTGAAAGCTTGACAGTACACTCCTGTCATTGAGAATACCCTGGCAGATCTAGGGATCCAGGCAGGGGAAGGGTGTCATTCAAACCTGGGAGACTCTGCAGCTTGCAGGCCAGATCTTTTAGGAACTGTTCACATGGTAGAGCCATTAGGGAGGGAAAGTGTCCACTTGTCACAGGAGAAACAGCAGAGCGCAGGGTGTGTGCCTACGACCCTGTGGGGTGAACAAGTGGACACGAGGATTCCATACACCAAGAAACAGCGTTCCTGAGTTCTCAGTGGGGAGGATAAAGGTAAGTTCACAGCCATGCCACCGTTTGTAATGAGCGCTATACAGGACTTGGGCCAATTTCACCAACGCTATTTAGGGGCTCTCTGGAGGTGGGCTCCGGGCTGAGCGGTCAGTTCCCGCCAGTGCTCACAAGGGTGGGCTCTACCCAATGTTAAGATACCCCCTGCCTTCAGTCCTGGCATGAACCCCTAAGAATGCTGGACCCCCAGTCTTCTCAGCTCTGCCTTTACCTCCTTCGTGTTATGTTCCCAGTGCCCTTGTTTTCCCATCAGCCATTTGGGTGTGTGGGGGCCATGAGGAGGTGCAGCAAGAACGCAGGGAGGTGCCCACCAGAAAGGTTGCTGTCCCACATTTCCACCCACATCTAGGCTGCCTTTGTCCTCACCAGGAATTTTCCTCACCAGAGGTGGCCTGAAGAGTCCAGGGGACCTGGGAATCGAGGGACCAGTTTAGGATCTGTGGCAGCTAGACCACGTTCAGGACCTGCCAGCTCCTCTCTCCATCTCTGGGTTCTGGGAATAGTATGGTGTCCCACACAGCACGGGGGTTTTCCTTCTAGAGGAACCGGTATATTGCTCACACCCACCTGTCCTAGGACCCAAAAGCTCCCCAAGAGGATGTGGACCACAGTGATGGAGAAAAAGCGAGTCCTAAATCTGGGTAGGAGGTGAAGAAGAAAGGGAGGAATTTGGAAGAGTTCGGAGCATCCTTTGACATTTTCTTTGCCAACATATCCGGGAGACGTTCAAGCAGCTGATCTTGTGGAGTTAACACTCACAGCGATTCTCTCTCATTCAGGAGACTTGCTACTAGAGTCCCCAAAGCAGCAGGGCTCCAAACATCCAGACTGTGCTGGACTCCCCCAGCTCCTTCCCTTCCCCATTCAGCCCTGGCTTCCAGCCACCCTCTGGCTCACCTTTGGGCAGTTTGGATGCGTTCTCCTGAATCCATGAGAAGAGGTGGGCGAAGTCACAGTCACATAGCCAAGGGTTCCCGTCCAGGCGCACAGTGCGCAGCGCGGGCAGAGCATCCAAAGCCGCCACGTTGAGGCTACGCAGGTTGTTATCATTCAGTTCCAGCACCTGCAGCGACTCCAGGTTCTCGAAGGCGGCCTCGTGCACACCGGCCAGGTGGTTGTTGGCCAGGCTCAGCTTGACCAGCCTCCCCGCTGAGCGGAAGGCGCCGGCGCCCAGCTGGGTGAGGTTGTTGTAGCTCAGATCCAGGAAGGCCAGCTTGGCAGAGCCGCTGAACGTTCCCTCCTCTAGCGAGCGCAGCGAGTTGTTCCTGAAATCCAGATAGACCAGGTCTCCGTGGAAGATGAAGAAGTCCTCGGGGATCTGCTGGATTCGGTTTCCGGCCACTAACAGCTTGCGCACGTCCAGCGGGAAGGGATCCGGCACGCTGGGCAACCCGCGATCACGGCAGTCCACCGTGTGGGGGTCGGTGCAGGCACAGCCTGCGGGGCACGCGCGTCCCGGCCCGAGCAGCATCAAGAGGCTACCCAGCCCCAGCGCCGCAGCGGCGCCGGTGGGGCGGCGGGGGACAGCGCAGGGACTCATCATGGCCCCAGGGGCTCCAGCGGACACGGCTCTTGGGGCGAAGGAGACGCAGCGGGACCCTGGCTGCCGGGCTCCGGGAGCCCTAGGGCCGCGGCTCGAGGAGAGGAGGCTGCTCCCGGGCGCGCGGGGGCGATGAGAGTGTGGCGGGGACAGAGCGACCTAGGGTGTCCGGGCAGCAGAGAGGGAGGAGGCAGAGGAGAGGCACTGGGCGCCGAATTCACCGGCACAGGAAACGGACCCTCTGGAACATTCCAAGGCATAGGCAGGGATCGCGGAGCAAGCCCAGCTAGACCCCACTCAAGCAGGGAAGTGGGACCTGTCGCACGGACCTGGCCAGCGGTGCTCAAGACTAAGTTCGTGACCGATCCCTGGAGCGATTTTCATAGGGCGTGTCTGGGGCATGCGCCCGCAGCGCCACCCTCGTATCTGCTAAAGGGGCCCAGGTCGCTTTGGCTACAACTCCTAGGCAGTGCCCCAGGCTGTCAAGTCCCCATCTGGGGCTGCGGAGCTGAGTACGGGCTAGGCTCCAGGATGACTGGGCTTCCCTCAGACACCCTCTTTCTTCCCCCCTGATTTTGGCCCACCTCCTCCTGGAGGAGGGTGCGAGCCTGGCGGGAGGCTGCCAGAGTCCTGCTGTGACTGGAAAGATGGCCCAGGCCAGTCAGCGTTTTCCACGTTGATACTGAGCTTGGGGATGGAACTGATTATCCACCCAGCATGGATCTCGTGGCTCGGAGCACGGCCTAAGAAAGAGGGTGACCTGGGCCCAGAGCCTCCTTGGCCCCCTGAACTCCTGTGGATCTGTCTGTGAAATGGGGAGGGAAGCTGGTTCTTGTAACTTACTATGAGGACTGAGGAAGGCCAGAAGCAGTATTCCAGAGTTACCAACTCTGTCCGTTCTCCATCAGCCCCAGGAGAGTGATCTGGTCAGAGAGATAACAAGGCTTAGAGCTCCATAGAGGTGAGGTTAGTCTGGACAGTGGTAGAAGTCCTTCCTTGCCATCCCTCAAGTCAACCTTATTTTCTCCTCCCTACCCTGGCTCTTTTCCTTGGGAAAGCCCCCACAGAGCTACAAGGATAATGCCCTGCACGTGGCTATTTTAATCCCAGTACCCTGGAACTGAGAAGCTCAGCCCCTGGCCCAAAATAACTCAGGGAACAGCTGTCAACTATAGGTCCCCATGGCCTCCCATGGCCCCCGACCCAGCCCCTGCCCCAGCCCCTGGCTCTGCTGGGGATTGGTGGAGCCAGCTATTCTGAAGCCCCAGAGCTTAGTCTGGATATTTTCTCCAGTTTGGAAGGGAGTTGGATGACCTCTTTTTCTAGTTTGGAAGCCAACTAGTTGGTAGCCCTGAGCCAGGGATCAGGCAATTGAGCCTTTGGGATGGAGCCAAGAGGCCAAGAGGATAGGGCTTGCATGAGCTCCAGGAGGGGCTGGGTGTTCGGCCCCCTCAGTAGCTCTTCCCCTGAAGACACCCATGCTAGCAAGCCAGACCATATGGGATAGAAAAGATCTGGGTAGATGAAGGTGCCTTAGCCACACCAATGGTGTGCTGTTAAAGATGCAAGCAGGTGGCCAGAATAAGCACATGCCACTATCAGATAGTCTGCAAAAGCACCCTGATAAGAGAGATCTTTCCGCTTTCAGCCTCGGGTTCTGTCTGACTGTTCACACCAGGGCTGAGCAATACCACAGTCCCTATTGGAGCTCTGAGCATTTTTGTTTCAGGACACCTGGTTGACTGGGCTGCCATTTTGTCCTCCCTTGTGAGTGTAGGTCTAAGTATGCACAGGTGCCATCCTGTCAAGAGAGCTGACTGACCACTGTGAGTCAGATCCCTACCCTTCTCCTGGTGTCTGATCCTGGACCACTGACCACAGGGCAGGTCCCTTTGCCTTCCTGAGTACATCCCAGACCTTGTCTGTTAAAATTTAGCCTGGTGACAGGTAGGCTCTTAATTAGAAAAAGAACACCAAGAGTAAACATGGGCCAGTTGTTGGTGGTGCACAGATTTAATCCCAGCACCCAGGAGGCAGAGGCAGATGGATCTCTGTGAGTTCAAGACCAGCCTGGCCTATATAGAGAGTTCCAGGACAGCCTCCAAAGCCACAGAGAAACCCTGCCTGAAAAACAAAGCAAAACAAAAAACAAACGAACAAAAGAATAAAACATGGCACTCACTCATGGCTGACTTTGGTCAACAAAACCGGTCACTTTCTACCTAATACATGCCTAGTATTTAGCCAATAAACGCTCACAAAATAGGGCCAGGCTTGATAGCAAAATAATGTATGGGGTTTCTGGAAACAAAACAGCTGAGAAATGCCTCTCCTTAGCTGTGGCTCCCTTGCCCTGAAGTGAAGAGATGTTTCCTCTACCCTTGCACACAGAGCAAGAGGGGAATTATTTGTGTGGAAACGTGACTGGGAAAATGTTGTAGAAGCCATGCATGGAAAAGTGGCCACAAATCTCTGTCAGGAACTCCTTGCTTCTTGCTTTGACTGTCTCCCAACATCTCTTGGATCCAAATCTAACTGTGGTTTGGTTTTGTTTTTTAAATTAATATCAGCAGGACATGGCTGAGGCTCATGGGGATCTGGAGGTCCTCGTACTGTAGGCCTCTCATTCCTTGGGAAAAACGAAAGCTTTGCCACCTCTGATACTTCTTCCCCTTGCAAGAAACACAAAGCCATGACCTCAGCAAGGGCTTTCAGTGAGTCAGGGATAAGAGGTGGGAATAGAATGCAGGCATTGTGCCATTCACCCACCCTCACTGCACCCACTTGGGACAAAGCCTCTTGGGGAGAGGACAAAGTACAGATAAAGAGGCCCTGAGCGGCTTCCAGAGTGTCTGCCTGTCAGAAGTACTCCTGTGTTTATCCCCAAAGGGAACATATTGTGATTCCTATTCAAGAAATGGGGTATAAAATACCCAACATATCCTGATGGGTGTTTTTCAAAACCCCAGGTTCAGGTCTCGAGATGGCTCAGTGGGTAAAGGTGCTTGCTACCAAGCTGGATGAACTGAGTTCGGTCCTTGAGACCTACACAGTGGAAGGAGAGAGGCGACTCCTGAAAGTTGTCCTCTGACTACAGAGGTGCAAGGTGGCCCATGTGTGCCCACACACATACCCACACTCATACACATTGGCACACAAAAAGTCAGAAGAAGGGTTGGCTCCCCTGGAACTAGAGTTACAGACAGTTGTGAGCCATCGTGTGGGCGCTGGGAATTGAACCTGGGTCCTCCACAAGAGCAGCCAGTGCTCTTAAATCCTGAGTCACCTCTCCAGCTCCAAATAAATATAATTTTAAAAAGCTTAATGTAAACTCCTATTCTGCCCTTCCCATCCTCTCTTGCACCATTTCAAAAATCCCCAGAGCTCTCTGTGCTTTCCTGCTTCATTCAGAGGTCTTCCTGTCTGGTCTTCTCCATCCTTGTCAGTTATCCAGGAGGCGAGGCCTCGGTGAGCTGTACACATGAAAGTCCCCTGGGAATCCCCTAAGTAGGGCCAGGGTCCTGAGAGCAAAACCAATCCAATAGGCGGGCTTTCCCCTTTTGTTGCCACGCTGGCATCTAAGTTAGCCAAAGCCGCAGGCCTTGACTCCTAAGCAAGATGATGCCAATCTGTCAAAGGCTATGTTGGAATCATAAAAAGTGTGGCTGGTGCTTGGTGATGTCATTTAGATTACTGGTGTGAATCACTTTTTGATCAGTGCCTGGCTGCCAGGGTAGGAGGCATGAGGACATCCCCTTGTCCTCCAGCCCTTTTCCTGAAGCGGTCTGGTGCAAGGCATACATTCTCTGCACTCTGTGTCCCTATTAAGGGGCTAATCTCAACTCCCCATCCTTCTGCACCACCACCACCAGGGGGTGCTATGAGCTGCTCACACAGGTTCCAGGAGGGAAACAGGTGTGAATGCATGTGTGCACCCACACTCACTCAACACACACACACACACACACACACACACACACCCCACACTCACCTTTTCCAGCTCTGGCTGGCTTGTGTGGTAGGTGGGCAGTATTCCTCCACTTTGTTCATTAGCTTGTTTAGTCTGAATACAAGCAAGTTAATGGGACTCGTGACATGGGGTCAGTCCATTGACCTGGCACAAGGAGATGTGTGTCCTTTGACTGTGGCCAGGGCCCCTAATGCAAGCTTCCCTAATGCCAGCCAACCATCCATCGAATGTGTGGCCTTAAGTGGTGTCAGAGAAGGATGGGGCTAATTGCATCCTATCTGCCCCAGGGAAAAGAATCCCAGGCATCATAGACAAGATATATCCCAGCAAGCCCTGGTGTCATCTACCCACTTCCTCTTAATCTATCTTCATCTTCTAGCCACTGGCAAGACCCCCTTATCTCCTAACCCAAGTCATGCATAACACTCTAACTGCCATGTCTACTCCTGCCCCACTCAAAAACTCAGACTTCCAGTACTCAAGGAAGCCATTGTGACCATTGAAAATATATATCAAATATGTGACCCCCTCCTCAGATGCCATTGATGGGTTCCTGTGTGTAATTGAAAGATTTCTAAGATCTCGGAATCCTACCTCCAGGTGTTCCTTGAGTGAGGGTGGAGTCTGTGTCTTATTTCTGCCAGACAAATTAAAGCAATGATGAAAGATGTCACATCCGAGATTGGGTGACAAAGGAGAGCTGCTTCCTTCCACGTTGCCAGCAGACTGTCACCTCCTTGGCTTGCACGGTTTGATGGAGCAAGCTGCCAGCTTAGAGCGGCCCACATGGCAAAGATTGGAGGGTGACCTCAGAACAAGCGATGATCTGAGCCTGGCCAACACCCACAGGACCTTAAAGTGGAGCTTCCCAGTTGAACTTGAAGCTGGCTGCGGGCCAACCAAAAGTAGTTTCTCAACCATAGAAGCTGATATAAAACAATGCTATTTTAAAAACGGAAATAGGGGTGCAACTTGTCATTCAGCAGTAGCTAACTAATACAATCCCTTGGAATAGAATCCCAACATGCCTAGCTCTGGGCATCTTTCCTACCAGACTTGTGACACTTTCTTTGCCTATAGTTCACCAACCTCTAGCTGGCCTGGTCTTCTTGTTCTTTTTTCTTTTTATTGGTTTCTACTGCAAAGTCATTGCTCTAGTTGTAACTTCTATATAGACACGCCCCCCCCCCCCAGACTCTGGCTTGATTGGTACCATTCTGTCCTTTGGGTTTTCTCAGTCCATATATCATCATCCCCTCTGCCAGCCTGCCTCGACTCCCAGCTTTTCCATCACCCTAAACTTCCTCTGCCTTCTTGCCAAAACGCTCACTATCGCCAGACAAGGCCTCACTTGCCTGTTTCTTTACTTGTTCACTCTATTGTCCCTCATTAAAATGGAAATGGGACACTGTATTAGTCAGGGTTCTCTAGAGGAACAGAACCAATGGAATGAATATGTGTTACAAAGGGGATTTATCAGGTTGGCTTACATAACACAGTCTGGATAGTCCAACAGTGGCTGTCTGCACATTGGCAAGGCTGAGAACTTGGTAGCTGATTGCTAACTTTGGTGACTGGATGCCTAGGCAATCCCCATCTGGTGCTGAAAGTCTGGAAGATTCCTGGAGAGTCATTGGCATCAGTCCAGGTTAGAAAGCCAAAGAAGCCAGATTCTGATGGCCATGGAGGGTGGTGGTGGCATCGGCAACAGCATAGACTTACTCACCAGCAAGAAATGACTTCGGGTGTCAAGCATTGCTTTCTCCTGCGACATTTTTATATCTGGGCTACTAGAAAGTGCTGCCCACTCTTGGGGAGGGGCTCCTTCTTTCAGTTAACCCTTCTGGAAATGTCTTCAAGAACCCAACTGGAAGGGTGCCTCTATGTTGACTTCAAATCCAATCAAGTTAGCAATCGCTATTAACCATCATGGATGATTTGCTCTAGTTCCCA